CTGACCACTCGGGTCAAGAAACCCATCATCGCCGCCGTGTCTGGTCACGCGCTGGGCGGCGGCTGCGAGCTTGCCATGATGTGCGATCTCCTTTACTGCACCGAGAAGGCCAACTTTGGCCAGCCGGAGATCAAGCTCGGCACGATCCCTGGCGCCGGCGGCAGCCAAAGGCTAACTCGAGCCATTGGCAAGTCCAAGGCCATGGAGCTCATCCTGACTGGCAAGTCGTTCTCCGGCGTTGACGCGGAGAAATGGGGCCTGGCCGCCCGTGCGTTTGGCAGCTATGACGAGCTGATGACCGAAACGCTTAAGACCGCCGAGACCATTGCCGGCTATTCCAAGGTTGCGGTCCAGGGCTGTAAGGAGGTCGTGAACAAGAGCCAGGACCTCCCTCTGCGGGACGGAGTCGAATATGAAAGGCGGGTCTTCCACGGCATTTTCGGGAGCCAGGACCAGAAGATTGGCATGAAGGCGTTTGCTGAGAAGCAGAAGCCTACATGGTCACATGAGTAAGACGAGCCTAAACGGAAGTTTACATGGAAATGAAATGCGAGTCTTAAACAAAGGCGGGTCGCAGTGCCCCCATACCTCTCACGTGAGAAATCCATGTGGCACTTGTGCTTAGAAGAAGATGCTGTTGTTTGCCCAGTCTTGGTCAGAAGTCGAGTGGTGAGATGCAGTTGATCCCACTCCAAACGTTCAAGCTTGCAGGCCACCCAGTAGAAATCCCCATGCATTAAACGGCCCGCGTGCTTGTGGCTAACGCAAGGATGATGCTGGCAGAGTGAGTCAAACTAGGAAGAAACACAGGCCCCGGCAGGGTACAATCAATCGTCCTGACAGACGGGAGCAAACCTGAAGTCGACGATATCCCCCATCACATTCTGGTGTTGTTTTGCTGCCCTTTGACCTGCCGTTTCTTTCCCTCTAAGCCAAGGCGCCACCATGCACGCAGCCTTGGCCCGTCCAGCGGCCAATACGAGATGTCGGAGAGTGGGCTTCTTCCAAGGTTACATACCCGTACTTACCGTCCCAGGCACATCTGACCTGACATCCGGTTCGCAGCCTTACGGCAGACGCCCGACATGGTCTTGTGCTTACCCCACTGCTCGCACTCCACCACTTCCGTGAGCCACCATCACCGCCATCGCGCCCCGACTCACAACATCGCAGAAATTGATCTACGCACTTTATACATGAGGCTAGGCAGACCCGTGCGCAGCTAGCGGTACCGCCTGAAGCTTTCCTGGCATATGGTCTCGGTCGGGGCTTCCTGGTCTCCTGACTGCACCCGCTTGCGATGGACACGGATCTCGAGAAGGAGTTGACATGCTCGGTAAGTGCCACGGTGAAACCTCGTCTCCTGCCGTGAGCTGGTCTGTCCCAAGCTGACCGCAACGCCCCCACCGCCGCCCGTAGATCTGCACCGAGATTCTCTACCAGCCCTTGACGCTGCTTGACTGTCTGCATACCTTCTGCGGCTCCTGTGTCAAGGACTGGTTCGGCTGGCAGCTCACAAATGCAGAGGCCTCGCCAAATCGTGGTGCCCGGCGCAAAGCCGACATCTTCACATGCCCGTCATGTCGGGCGTCGGTGCGAGACACCCGGCACAGCGCCACCTTTGCAACCCTGATCGACATGTTCCTGTCTGCCAACCCTGACAAGGCAAAGTCTGAGCAGGACAAGGAGGAGATGAGGGCCAAGTACAAGACCGGTGACCAGGTCCTGCCCAAGATACCTGCAGACGAGAGGTCGCGCGGAGACCGTAGGGCCGAGGAGATGGAGCGGCGCATGCTGGAGCAGGCACGCGAGCTCAGCCTGCAGGACGCTGGTGTCCGGGAATCTTCAGAGCACCGTCGCACACGGAGACGACAGGGCACAGGAGCGTCTGAGGACTCGCGGAACCGGTCTGGCCGGGATACAAGCAGAGACGCCAGAGGCGTGGACGGTCGAGCACGGAGCAGCAGGCCGGAGGGGCGACGGCGCAGGACTAACTCTGAGAACATGCTCCATCCTGATGGATCCTCGGACGAGCGACGACGTCGGCGTAGTGAATCGCAGCAGCGGTCACGTGCTTCATCCACGACTGAGAGGAGAGCTATAGAGCATCAAGCTTCCATTAGGTCTCTGATCAGCTCGTCTGATGTCGACTCTAGAGACCTGGAAAGAGAAATCGAGGACTTTGCTCGCCACATCCAGGAAGAGGGATTGCTGGACGGCCTTGATCTAGACAACCTCGATTTGTCTCAGAACGACGAGCTCAGCCGCAAGGTTACCGAGGCATACCGAAGGCGGCAGAGGGAGCGTTCTCGTCAGGAACGTCCGAGGAGAAATACTGGTGGTGCGCGCTCCGACCAAGCACAGGTAGCTCGGCACCCGGCAGCAGAAAACGCTCGCCAGAGCAGTAGGCAAAGGTCATCCTCTGCGAACGAAACGCCTGGCACTTCTTCATCACGTCACGAAGATAGAGCCCGGCCACCGCTTACAGGCGCGCATCTTGAAGTCCATGGCGAGAGCGATAGGCGGCGACGTCGCCGCAACTCGAGCGGAGCTAGGAGCGCGACAGACCCGGCTCAACCACGCGAGGCTGAAGTCAGGACTGCAGCCATATCATCAACGGATTTGACGGCAACCTCACGAGGTTCAGATCCCATCGTCCAACGCCCCGTGTTTGCAGAGCATCGTGCCAACAGCTTGCCCCCCGCTCAACCTTCCTCTACCAATGGAGGTGCGAGCTTCAGCGCGCGCGCTTCCGCAGCTCAACAAGCGAGCGTATCACAGCATACAGTGACCACCATCCTGCCGGCATCAAATGGATCTCTAGCTACAGCGGCTGAGCTCACCGACAGTAGCAGCGAGCACATACACCGCGCACAGCGGCCGGAGATCTCCGTCGTCCCCCAAAACCCTCTGCCTAGCCTGGGGCTCCTCCAGTCACCTACAAGGCAGGGCCAAAATCATCAGCGAACCCTATCTCAGTACTACAATGAGCCTTCTATATCATGCTCGCGATGCTCAAAACCACATATCGAGTACGAGCTCCACTACAACTGCTCTAAGTGTTCAGGCGGCAGTTGGAACATCTGCCTCGAATGTTATAGGACCGGAAAAGGCTGCCTGCACTGGTTTGGCTTTGGCTATACGGCGTTCAAGAGATGGGAACAAGCACAAGCTGCTGCCCGCGGGGAGCAGTTTGACCCGCCGCACATGCTCACGTCGAACAGATATCGCCCGCCAAGAGCCGTCCCTGGAGGCGCCGACGGGCGCCGCACGATGACGACTGAAGATCCAGCCGCCCGATTTGAAAGTGGCATGTTCTGTGCTCGCTGCTTGACGTGGTCGAACGAGTGCTTCTGGCGTTGCGACTCATGTAACGAGGGCGACTGGGGCTTCTGCAACAACTGTGTCAACCAGGGCTTCAGCTGTACTCATCCGTTGCTTCCGTTGACTTACGTCCAGCCTGTATCTGGCAGCTCGCAGTCTCCACCAGGTACGCCGCCCAGATCTCCAAGGCGACCATTGTCCGCCACGTTATTCACTGGGCCGAACGCTTTGAGCATTGGCAATTTCAGACCACTCACATTCACGACCACTTGCGACATCTGCCGAGACCCGATCGCTCCATCGCAAAACCGACATCACTGCTTCTCTTGCACAAGCACTGTTGTGCCAGACACACAGCCTGGCGACTACGACATCTGCGTCGAGTGCCACCACCGCCTGGTGCGTGAAGGGCGCATCTCGGAGGAGAATGGTCCATCTGGGTGGAGGAGGTGTCTCCAAGGCCACCGCATGGCTGTCATCGGCTTCGAGGAGAGCCGTGGTGCACAGCGTCGTGTTGCCACCAGACACATGGTCGGGGGGAGAGATCTCAAGATCGAGCAGGCACGCGGCCCAGATGGAGCCAGCCTGCAAAAGTGGCGATGGATGAGCTCGAATGGCAAGACGAGAGTCGAGAGGCTCGTCACGGTCGACGTCGCCGCGACGGCTCCGCCGCTCTCGGGCAGTAATGCGGCAGCGGCCGACGTGTTCCCGCCAGATGGAGGTGTGGGCAAGCGGGCAGTGGCAGGGTGGTCGTGGTATCCGGCGCCCGAGGCGGAAGACGAGCTCATGTTCCCTCGGGGCGCTGAGCTCTGCGAGGTTCAGGACATCAACGGGGACTGGCTCTCCGGGAGCTACATGGGGGTCGTAGGATTGATACCGTCGCCGTTTGTCAAGATCCTAGAGTAATGACGGGAGCGGCGATGCTTATTTAAATACTTACTCGAATGAATGTTTGTGATGAGGTTGACTAGAGGTATAGTTGGTTTCGCTGGTGGTTTCCGTCGAGAGCGTGTCCTGTTACTTTCCAACCACGGAAGCGGTGAGCTCGTGTTCACGCGCACAAGTAGGAATCTTGCTTGTCAACCGACCTCGCATGGAGAATGGCGGCGGTTCCATAACTTGAGCGACAAGTTGACGGCGATGTCTCCAGAGTAAATGAACTACGACAACGAAAAAGCCGCAGACGAGATTTGAATCATGGTGTTTGTATTTCTGCGCATTTTGGCCAGGTAGAGGGTAGAAGCATTCTCGGACGAGTATATAATGAGGCGTTGTCGTTGTCTACGGACAAAATCTTACCCTGTTAGTTGTGTTTGTGTGTAAGTGGCATGAGTGACGAAAACAAAACAAGCACTCACGTACGGACCATGAGGAACAAAAGTATGATTAATTGATACAAAACTAAATTTTTAAAAATGAGGTGAACTACACTTCCCGTTCTTTTTCACATGGTCGACTTGATTGAAGTTATCTATTATACAAAAGGTCACATCTAACCTCTTCCGCACTTTCCCGAGTAACAAAAGAAACAACCTTTCCTTCCCCCTAACACTTAACCCAACAAGCAAACCAGTTTATGTAACCTTCTAAGGTTGCTTCCGGACAGGAAAAGCAAAAAAAAAAGACAGAGCTTCGCAGGTTTCATTGTGGAAGAAACGCAAAAAGATCGCACTGCATACTAGCGCCGAGGATCGAACTCGGAACCTTCTCGGATTTCAAGAATCAACTGCTCACATGAATGTGAACGAGAAATCATAACCATTAGACCACGCCAGCTTTGTTGTTTCAATGCATGTGCTTGTTTGATGCAAGTCGGGAGCCGTAGCAAGGTACAAGACATGAATCTTTTTTTTGGTGATCGCCAAACGTGACATTTTGAAATCGTCGAAGTGAGAAGGACCATTGCTGTGGCCAGCCATGGTGGGGAATATTCGTGTGACGAGGAAATGAACCGCATTGGCGGAGGATAGTGCATACATGGAGGGGGGCTGTGTCTGAGGAGGTCGAGCAGTTGTGCAATGCCTCCCTCTAAGTGTGTATGATTGTGCTGATGGACAATTGCAGACGGCTTTCTCCCTCTCTCAGGAACTAATTCACTCGGGCATGCTTGGGTGTGTTTGTGTTTGCGGGTTCTATTGCTGGCATAAAATCCATAATTCCAGATCGTTCAATCATTATCTATCCTGTCGTTGAGAGATTGTAACCTCGTCTCTGTCGAATTCGTCAACCTCCAACTCCCATTAATGCCCCATGCGTTTCGTAAAACAATGATCATTCCTCGTGCAGGTGCCGTGGCTTCTATGTGCAAGTCCAGATAACCACAGCTATAGCACTGACTGTAGCCATGACCATCTTGTGCAAAACACCATCCTGGACAGACCGGCCCGAGCTCTTGATGAGCACCGCCGCCCCCACGGTTGACGACTCGTCTATGCTGCACACATTTCCGCACTGAGGGTCGCCATTGGTCGCACGAGAGGCGAGTGCGTCGCCAGCCTTGTTGTAGACGAGCTCGATCCACTGGATCTGTAGGAAGGCCTCATCGCCACGTTTCATTACACCTGACCAGGATCCGCCGTCGCTCCAGGAGTTGAAGAAGACCTGTAGGGGATCCCTGGGGTTCTGGAATGCGATCGAGGACACCTGCTCGCCGTTGACAAAGTGTGTCGTGGTAGTCGGCGTCCAGTCGAGCCTCCACACAGCCCAGTCTCGGTAGGTCAGACCGCGGGGCATGGTGATGTTGCGCGTCGCCTCTGGGATACCGCCTCCGCCAGGTGTGTACGCCGGCTGGTTCGTGTACTGGACGAACTGAGGCGGGTCCATTGTGCGGATCTCGAGGTCTGACTCCTGCACACCAGTGATTTGCTCTGCACCCTTGTAGGTGAACATTGCCGTGATCGCCCCTGGGCTGCCAACAGTACGGGCAAACATGCGCACCGAGAGGTAGTGATAGTCTGCGATCTTGGACTCTATCTCGGCACCGGTCTGGAAGTCTCCGACGCGGGCAGTGCGCATCGTCATGTATGTTTCTGATGCGGGTTTGGGATCCTTGTTGCTCTCGATGAAGATGTTGTTTGGGGAGTTGACAAACAGCACTGTCGCATCCACCTCGCCCGAATTTAGGCGGGCGCTATTGTTCCAGTTCTGGATCTCCCATGCACTCGTGAAACCATTTGAGCGGAAGAAGTCACTCGTCACGTCGGCATCGGCGTTGCCTTGCACGCTGGTGAGACTTTTGGGCACGCCGGCATATTGTGAGAGCCTCCTGAAGTCGTAAAACTTGTGCGCGCTAAAGTAGTTGGCGTCGGTGCCGTTGGTGAGGTAGCAGTTGCACTTGTCGTCTGAGACTTGCTGGTAGGTAGCCTGCGCATGTACCAGCGAGACACCGAGGAGTGCGACACCCGCTCGTAGGGCCAATGTGACACCCATGGCAACGGGCTTGTGGCGGTGAGAATGTTAAAGAAAGCTTCCACAGCGAGCGTTGGCTATGCCGTCCCGACTGTAGGGCTGGTGTTTGGCGATGAAAGAGTTGACGAGCTATGGCGTACGTTCCAGACCACCAACTTCGTAGAGCCAGGGCGAGAGCGGTTGACAGCGCTTATATGTGTCCTGGAGTATTGTTCTTTTAGGTTCAGGAGGCAGTGGGGACGGTAAGAACTACTCGAGCTCTTATTGCCTGATCTGGGGGTGTTTGCTTCACAGGTACGGGCTGACAGGTTTGGTGCGATGTTGATGTTGATGTATTGCTTCTTGTCCGGGAAATGCAGCTGTGGAAACATTAATGTGGCCGAGCCAAGGTGCTGCCAAGCTGGAGAAACAAAGAAATACTGCCGAGATGCGGCGCCCATGGCATCGACGACGCGGTAGGTTTTATGGAGTGCTGCGCATGGGGAGATTCTGCCGGCGCCTGCATGGCAGTCATGTACGCACAGAATACGAGATCTTGTCCTGGAGGCTTGAAGCAGTCTTCGCTGCGGCAGCGAAACCTGCAACAACAGGTGCGCCCGGGCCGCCCGGCAGGGGGGTCATGCATTTAATACGGTCAGGCCCAATCGTGCCGGGCGCCAAGGTGAAAAAGCCCCCAGTCCCGAGGATTCCTGGCTCTGATCACGGTGGTTCTCGCGTGGTGGATTTGTTTCTCGAGTCTGCGCCAGCTCACCGTGTCTCGCGGGAACGGCAGAGCACGGAGTAGCAGCAGCGCCTAGATGCTTCAGGTTGCACGGCCGAGGCCGAGGCGGGTAGCTCAGCCAGGATTTGTGACGTAGGCTACTGCAGGCAGGGGCTGCAGTTGCGCCACTCGTGTCGACGTGTCTGTATTCTCCTAACTTAGCCAGGCGAGCCAGGCTCTCAATTCGCGGTTCTGGACATCGCGCATCGTCAAATCATGGCGAGCCTCGAGTCACGGCCGGTGGTGGGCTGCAACGAGAAGAATCATGCCGAGATAGCCGTACATGGCCTGACACAGGGCTCGACCCTGTTCAGCATCGGGAATCGTTCAACCATGAGACAAGACTGGCGTAGTTGGCAAGATACTGGAATGTGGCTTTTCACGACTGGGAAACGAAATGCCTGGCTGGATCAAGTCCGATTCAAAAAGGTCGTTTGCAGGGCAGGCACGTGCGATGCTGAACTCCTCAGCCAACCAGAAGATACCATCGAGCTTGCAAGTGGGGCATCCGCCGTTCCTTTGCGCTTGCATGCGCAACCTGGGACTCTTCCAGCTCAAAGTCAATCACCAATTACTTACTTGTCCAACACAGCCATCAGTTAACACAATATCGCACACGTATACTACGCGCCGCCGCACAAGGCCGCATCGCACCTCTTGACTGCGACCATTACACAACAGCCAACCTTTCAGCATCGCCTCGGCTAATCGACAACCACCGCTAGTCTAGACCAACCTGTCCGCTTACTGCCAACATGTACCCTCCCAGTCGTCACCTCTTGTGCCATACCACTGCCACATGCTTACCAATGCACCTTCAGTCGCAACTTCCCGAGAGCTAGGGCGCTCCGTGGGAAGAGTCCTTCGGTGCAGCAGCGTCCGCGCTCAGGACCGCGACTTGACTTAGCACTAGCAGTGGGCGTCACGAACATGTCGGAATCACAACAGCAATCGGCCGCAGTGCCGTCGACAGATGCCGCGGAGCAGAACACGTCCCCAGAAACAACCTTATCTAACCAAAACGAAGAAGTCGAAGCCGTAAAGACGGCAGACCCTACCGACGATGAAGGCAAATCACAACAACCGGCTGCCACCCAGCCATGTGGGGACAATCCGACACGATCACGCTCATCATCCTTAGAGTCCGGCGAAGCATCGCCCCCAAGAGAAGCTACAGATATAGCCAGCAGCAGCGAGCCGCCGTTACCCAACGAAGCACCGCCATTGCCTGTCGAAGCTCCACCGTCGGCCGCGGACGACGGCTGGGATTTCCACTGGAGCGAAGAGGCGCAGGCTTACTACTTTTCCAACCGCCTCACGGGCGTGACAACCTGGGAGAATCCGCGACAAGCCCCAGACAGCACGGCAGCCGCGCAAAGTACCCATGCGCAATCCGCATCCACAGCAACGGCGGCCCCGCCGTTGCCGGCATTAGACCCCGATGCGCTTCCTGCAGGCGGCTATAACCCGGCGATACACGGCGACTACGATCCGAACGCATGGTATGCGCAGAAGCCAGCGGCACCGGAAGCGACCGCAACAATTCCACTGCTTGGGGGTGAGGCCGACCATGCTGCTATGGGTTCCTTCAACCGGTTCACGGGCGCTTGGCAGGCTGGTGGGGACGACTTGTCAACCCGGCACAATGACGAGAACAAGTCGCACCGGCAGATGAATGCGTACTTTGACGTCGACGCCGTTGCTAGCTCGCACAACGGGCGCAGCCTCAAGGCCGAGCGCAGCGGCCAGAAACCCAGCAAGACCGAGCTCAAGGCATTCAAGGAGAAGAGGAAGGCTCGGAAGGAAGAGAAGCGAAGGGCGTGGCTCAGGGACTGAGGACGGTCCGGCAGACGGCAACAATAACAACAACAACATAGCAGTTGCTGGGCCCCATTTGACCTGGTTTCGAGCCTTTAAGGTGCCTCGAGGGCGTCATGCGTCTCTTCTCCTCGGGACCTTGATGGTGTTGTGGGGAACTCTGTGCATAAATGCAAAGAGCAGTACAATCTGAAAGCCTGCATATGAAAATGTATACAGCAGGATATTGCACAGGCTATTCTGGATATAGGCAATACAGCCAATTCTGAATAGTTCAGCACCAGCAACCCTACAAGTGAGAGGCAATATGATTTCCACGAGAGTCTTTGAGGAGGCTGGCCATGAGGATATATTGCTTCAGTAATCTCCGGCATACTAGTCACACCTTGAGCACTGATATAATCATCAATCGATTGTAAAACCTTGCCACAATCCTGTTCTATGCTGTAATTGACCAACTGTGAATCTGCTTTTTGTGTGTAGCTCTGATTTCCCATTACAGCCGCGACAGTGTGTGCTGAGACATTACCGAGCTTTCAACAGGCAACCACTCCGCGCAGAAATCGCACTGCACAGGCTGCCAAAGGTCGCTGCCTTCCATATTGCCGATCCCCCCCTCTCGGAGGATAAAATCATCCTAAGCCTCGCCACCCTGCACAGCCGTTGCACCGGCGTCCTTGCCAGCGTTCATGCCACCCACGGTGACTGCGAAAAGCACAGGGTCTCCCGCGTTGACCTTGCCACTCTGGTCGTCTCCCTCGTCTGGCTGTACGTCGTCGTACGCGAAGGC